ACTATGTTTACCTTGCCCACAGCCACACGCTCTTTGCCCCAGTGTCGGAAAGCTGTTTCCAAATCCGGAATGACCTCAAGGTAGCCTGCTGCCAACTCCTCTTCAATCAGCTGTTGAAGCAAAGCTGGGTCTTCTTCCGCGCCTTTCCAGTTGCCCTCACAGATCAAAAGTTCATGGCCCTCGTCACTATCGGTCTCACGCCGTGGGCGCAGCGTATGACTGCGAGGTATGTCCTTGTCGAAGCCGGTTGGCACACCTTGCATCAGTGCCGGAAAAAGCGAGGTGTCCTTGTCTGCAATCAAGTGGCTAAGGCGCGACAAAGCGGACAAACAATATGGTTGTCCTGGTGGCACGGAAAAATCCCAGTCCTGAGAAGTCGAGTGCTTGTCAGAGAAGCGCCTGAAGATTGTTGTAGCCAAGCATTCTCATCTTCTGTGAAAAGGGGTTTTTTACAGTGCGTAGCTACGTGCTGGGCAAGTCTGGCAGGGACGTGCTTTTCCAGAAGCCATTGTTGCCATTCCTAGAAAGCAAATCTGGTGGGATACACTGCAACGCAAAGCTGAGTGCGCAAAAGCTGGTGCACTCATGTAGCTTGTACCCCTCAAAAAGTGGGGAGACAATGTTGCTGTAACGTGATGCCAAAGCGGAAGGGTACTCTGCAGTCCGTTGAGAAAGGAAGTGGCCTTGCTCATCACGTGCGCCGATGACCGACTGGTGTTGACCTTGGTGGGAGCAAGTGCCCGCAAGCTGTTGCACCGGCGCGAAGCTGGAGGCAAAGAGCCACTGTTTCGCAACATCCATACCCACTGAACAAGCTGGGACCACAGATAGTGTAGCCTGCACCTCGGACAAAAAGTCTTGGACGAAAGGTTCAAGCCAGGCCATGGAGTTAGTGGGTTGCTCTAAAGAAGCATGGCCACCTGAAGCGAAAACAGCATGCAAGATGCATACGGATCGATACATGATCTTCTGGCTTATCTCCACTCGCTGCTGCTGTGACTGAGTATTCTCGGGGAAGCCGTTGAGGAAATCAGGGCTTCTAACAGCACGTGGGCCACCTGGGCGAAGCTTCAAGCGGGAATACTCTTTGCAGGGAGGAGCAGCGTGTGCCATGCGAACTGTTCCCGAAAAAGCCAAGCGCAGAATACTATCATAGGTCTTGTCATCCAGCAAGTCAAGTGGCTCTGAGCCCAGGGCGTCAACACAGATGCACTGAATACCGGATTTCCGGAGACTCTCAGAAAGCGGAGCGTTGGCACCGCAGCATACATCCAGGAAGAATCCTGGGGCTCCTGCGTCCGTGGGCGTACAAAAAGTCGTCGAGGGCCTGGGAGCTTTCGGCGGATCCACAGGAGCTGAACCTTCAAGCGGAAAACCGAGAGAGCGTATATAAGATATCTGCTCAGGCGTAAAAGTAGCCAGCCCGCGACAAGTGTAAGCGGTCAAAACCCATCGCTCACCTGAGAAAGGGCAGGTACAATGAATATGCTCGCAGGGGAATGTCAAAGCATTCTCAAAGGTGTCGATAAGCTCCCCCGATTGCAAAACTGAGCTGGAAAATTCTTTAGAACTCGAGTCTGGAGGAGCCGGAGAAAGGTGTGGCGGTGAGCTCAGGGGCGGCGAGATCCAAACTTCGCCGCCACAAAAGTTGCCCAGCGAGATTGTAAAGTTGCTACTCCCAGGCTTGTTGCCTGCATCTGTATGTAAAAGCGTGCGCACGTTGAAGCTGACACAAATGGATGACCAGGAGCCACCTGGAGAGCGCAGTGAAAGAAAGGAGTTCAAAAAGCGAACGATGTCGGAGAACTGTTCTGTACGCTGAAAAATACCGACCCTCTTGCCATCATCAAAACCAAAAGCGCCGAGGTTGAAGTATGCATCGGCCTGAGTGATGGCTGTGTCTTGAGAAGCGTGCTCAAGGTTCGCGGCGTCGGAAAAGTATTCCTCCAAAAGCGACAAACAAGTGGAGAAACTGAGATCACCAGCTGACATAGCAAGTGACGCCGCGGAGCTCTTCCTGGCAGCGATTGCTGGCTGGGGCTGCAGGGTGCCCTGAGTACCGGCTGGGCGTGCTGG